GGCTTTCCTGACAATTCTCTGGTATCCGTTTACACTCCTGGGTCGAAAGAAGCACTGTGACAGTTAAGTGTTTTGCCCAAGAACACAACACAATTAGCTGGCCAGATCTCAAACCCAGACATTTTGACTCAGGGCCCAGTGCACTAACCATTTGGCTGCTGCCTCTCTCTGCTCTGGGTATTTAACATGGTACTGCAACCTTTTCTGCATTTTGTTGAATTGATAAAAAAATTTGAAAGAACTCAGTTGGCACTCATGCCCTGGCACAGGCAATTATGGAGTTTATTTTATTTTTATTGTTCAATTTGAGGCTTGCACTCACTGGTGAATTCAAATGATTCAACTGTCAATGACATAATATGTTTTGTTATGTATATAAAAAAAAGTGGACTTGGAATTTTTGGGTCAAGCTGGACTTGTATTATGCCTTAGGCATATAAAGGGGTTTTCTAGTTGATTTTATGGATTTTGATGGCTGTCAGGAAAACCATTAGAGCACACGGTGTTAGTTAAGTTTTCATTGGCTCCTTGTTATATTTCCTTTGTTCTCATTGGCTGTTTTGGCAAGTTTGGTTTTTGTTTACATCAAACCATCAAACTGCATTCTGTTAAGTGCACAGTTAAGTGCCAATTTGTTATTTTATTTATTTCCACCCTTACAGCACCAGACTTTTATGAATACTTCAAAGCTACAAAACCCTTGCTGGACAAGGATCCAAGCTTATGGTGTGTCTCGGCTTGGAATGATAATGGAAAAGAAGGAATGGTTAAAAGAAATGATGTTCTTTACAGAACAGACTTTTTCCCTGGACTTGGCTGGATGATGAGAAAATCTCTTTGGGTAGAACTAGAGCCAAAATGGCCTCTTGGATTTTGGGATGATTGGATGAGGGAAGCCTCGCAACGTAAAGACAGATCATGTATTCGACCAGAAATTCCACGGACAAGGACATTTGGCCGAGTAGGTGTTAGTCGTGGACAATTTTATGATCAGCATTTGAAATTTATCAAGCTAAATGACCAAAAGCACCCATTTTCAAAAACAGACCTTTCCTATTTACTGAAAGACAACTATGATCAAAGGTTTGTAGTACGTGTACATTCACTGCCTCTTGTAACTGCTGATCAATTGGTAGAAAAAAAGGTTTTTGCCACAGATGTACAAGTTCACTACTCTTCGCCAATGAACTTTGCACAAGTTGCTAAACAACTTGGTGCAATGACAGACTTTAAGGCAGGAATACCCAGAATGGCATACAAAGGCATAGTTTCAATTGTGTTCTCAGGAATTAATGTGCACATTGTTCCATCAGAGTAAAGCATCAGTACATCAGGAATATAGGGTTCCCTCTACTGGAACAGAATACCAAAAAAGCGTAAATCAGTGTGAAGCAACCACAAGAAATTGACCAGAGCTGAAAATATACACACAGTAAAATGTGATTCTGTCCAAAATGAGAAAATAACCAAATATTGAGCAACCAATATCAAGTGTATGATATCAAGCAACCCTATTTATTCTCAACAAACCTCATCAACAAATGGAAATTTAACCACTGAGGATCTTTCTCTAGCTCATCATAGTGGACTTCTAATAAATATGATTTTGCTAATTAAAAAAAAAAATCAACATTTTCCATGGTCATTGAGGTGTTTATTTTTTAAGACGGCCAATGTTTTCAATTCCTGCCCTTTTCTATCCAACCGCTCCTTGTTTTCAGACGGCTCTTCTTGGTTAGCTCTCCACAATCTTTGGTGTGCCAGCCATTGAAAAAAATAGTTGGCAGTGAGAAGTAAGTTAGTGCTTAAAGGGCAAATCTCCGCAACATCTATTCCCTTTGGTTTTACTTTTACTTTTTTTTTTCTAGTGTTAATAAATCTTTTTTAGTATGCAGGTGAACAGAAATAAAGCAACATGAAAATTTATTTCAGATCTCAAGAGATATTTTATACTATTTTGCTGCAACTTCAGAAACAAGGAACCGGTGAAAATGCTGGTTTCTGTTGCTTCTAGAGAACACTGAATCTTACTCTTTATCACTGTGTCAAATTGAAATAATTGATAGTATACTCTCAAACTAGACTTAGACTCTTGCAAAACTTGTTTACAAAGTCAATGATAGATTAGGTTAATTTTAGCAAAGTTTAATGACTGAACATATGTAACAATCATTAAACAAAGTGAGGTTGAGTAGGGTTGGATATTTACCAAGTTCCAAAGTGGCAAGGTTAACATTCAAACCTTTTGCTGACTTTGAGGTTAATACTTGTTTTAGTATATACCACACAGGTTACCCTAAGCTCTTGAACTGCAATTTTGTCTCCTTGGCTCTTCGAAGGTGAATATTTCTTGCTAATTACTTCCGAACTACCCAATCAGGGCATGTGAAAAGTACTTCTAACCTGTGTTCTAAATACAAATAAAAATTATTGTACTTTTCCAGGTTGGCTTGTTTCTTTGTACAAGGAGAAGACTTTCTTGCCATCCAGCCATTTAAAATTAATTAAAGTCAAACTTTAAACACTGCCACTTTCTTGTCAACCTTTATTCTCCTTGCACCTTCAATTTACATCATCTTTTCCAGAAGAACAAAATATTTTCACTGTGCAATTTCCTCTGACTGAATGTTCCTCACAATCAAACCATTCCACATACAATGATCAAACTTAAAGTACTACACTGACAACAGCCACCATTAAAATGAAAGTCAAAATAAAAATGTTGTAAAATAATATTCAACAAGTTTAGCAGAACTATTTTAACACCTTTGAGTTAACAAAGAGTTAGCAACTGCAATTAAAACTTTGAATTTCTCTGGAAAGGCTCTAATACATCAATATATACAGAGTTTGATGGACAATTTTAGGACCTTTATTGCTCCTTCACTCCATCATCTTCAGCAGGTTGATCAGCATCTTTTGTTGCATCATTTGCCTCCTCTGGTTCTTGTTCTGCATCCTTTTTTGCATTTCCTTCCGCAGCTTCATCCTCCTTTGCCTCCTCATGGCTTTCTTTGACTGAGTCTTCTTTCACTAGTTCCTCCTCCTCTGTTTGTTTAGCTGCCTCAGTTTCCTCATTTTGTTCATCTGCTGTTTCTTTGCTTTCCTCTGCACCTTCATGTTCATCAGCAGCACTTTCTTCTCCAGTTTTGACCCCTTGTTGGAGATTAAGTGTTCATAAGTGGATAATGATAAAACAACTTTTCCCAGCAGCTATTAATGACACCAATTTTCAATTGAATGTCAAAAATAACGCCTTTCTTTTCTCGTACTTAACCCAGTTGGTGTGTTTTTACCCTTTGAGCTCTCATACATCCATTTCATGACAAATTTTCCCTTTTTCCTTACTGGTTGTGGTGATTAAATTAGTTGACAAATTGTCCAGCATAAAAAATGACCCAGTCTGAACCTTCCTCATTTTACACTCTGCCCCTACTACCAAGCTGTTTAATATTTCACATAGATTTTGTATTGTTTACCTGCTGAATGCCTGGAACACAGTAAACCTCTTAGGATTAAGTTTCTAAAGAAACTGTGGTGTTGTGTCAGCAGGGGAGTGTAAGAAGATAATTTGGTTTTATCATCTGAGTTGATAATGAAAATTGGCCACCATGAAAAGTTTCTAAGCTGACGTTTGAAGCATTTATTTAGCCCTTTGTCAGAGCAAATGGCTAAAGGCTAATGCTCAAAATGACCGCATTAGAAACTCTTTATGGTGACCAATTTACAATATCAACTTAGATGACAAAACCAAATTATATTATTAGTAAAACTTTTAGAGAGTTTATCAATACCCTAGGTCACTTATGTTTAATAACAAGCAATAGGGCTCTGGTCATCTAAGATCTTCAGGCATAACTGCTCATTAAAAAGGAGTAAACACCATGACAACCCACTCACCTTGTGTGATTCTGTCATTGACGTCATTGATGGCTTTGGATATGGCATTTTCAGCTGCATCATCCTCCAGTATTTTGGCTAGGTCTAAGGCTTTTTCAAAAGATTGCAGGGCATCTTTGAGATCTCCAAGCTTCACTAAATTGCAAACAGTCAAGTTGTATTGTTAAAGATCAGTCAATGGAAAACTTCTTTTTAAAAACCTTAAATGATGATTGTGTGGCCTGCACTGTAGTTCACTAGCAAGTTTAAAAATAATTCACTTCGACCTGTTATTATCTTTCTCTAAACAGAACAGCTGGGACATTGCTCAAATGCTGATCTTGGCAGTATGTAGTACACTGGTCGCATATGATACTAGGAAATAACATTGCTCATAAATGAATTCTTCTACACATTTTCTTGCAGTTACAAGAATTTAGATCAAGCTTACAACTTCTATCTGAAAATTTTGAGTATCCTCATGACCTGTTTGCTGGATAATGTATATATAACATAGTTGGAAGTTACATGTTAGTCACTTCTGGGAGTTGACAGTTTATATTTAAATTCAAACAAGGCCTATCTTATTAGCAACAAAAATCACCTTCAGCTTGAGCCGCAAGAACTGTGGCATTAAGCTGCCACACTTTATCATCTGCTTGCTCTGCTGCAGCCAATGATCTTTGACCAAACTCCTTAGCATCCTGGTAGTATTTGAGCTCTAAATGACACCTGCCAATTTCATGATAAAGCCATGTGCTTTCTAAAACTGATTTACTGAGTGGAAGTTTCTCCATCCAGGAATCGATAGCTTTGGTGTATTCTCCCATCTTAGCATACAGTCTTCCAAGGTTGTCCAGCGCTCGTGATTTAGCTTCCTTGTTCTCCCTAAGAGGGAAATGTAGAAAATAGAGGAAAGTGTTTTAATTTATAAGCTCTCTTAATATTGAATGGTCATTGTTTATAAGGTATCTCACAATTGTCTGTTAAAATTTCATTCATAAAATTTGTACTGCCCCTTTAATGATTACAGGTGCCTATACCACCATCAGCAACTATTTGATGATGAAACCTCCATGTGATCCTAATTATCAGGAGGGTGTACACTGAGTTTCATTTCTTTCATGGGAAAAAACCGTAATATGGTATTTTCCAGCAACTGACTTCATTAGAACACAGATCACTTTAATTTACCAAATTCTATCAGCTGGACCAGTTCTTGAACTGTATCTTTTTACAAGTAACAACTTACATTTTTTTAGCAGCCTTCAGATCTTTTTCATGGAACTTCAAAGCTTCTTCATAATTTTCCATCTCAAGATGAGCATTTCCAATACAAGAGTACAAATTACCCACAACCTCTGCCTTGTTTGGGACACTCTCTGCTCCTAATGACTGTACTGTTTTTAAAGTTGACTGTGCCTTATTTAAACTTGTCTCTGGATCACCATCTGCCAACGCCTGGTCTATTTCCTCCAAGGATCTCAAGATGAATTTTGTTGTGTCAGCAGGGAGTTGCCTCTGGGGAGATTTTCTTGGGGGCAGTTTCTTGTTCTTGCGAGCATAGAGTGGTTCTTGTTGTCTCCAGAATTCAATTCTTGTATCTAAATAACTCAAGCCATCTTGGACCAGATCATAAATTGGTTTGCTGCTATTTCCATGAATAAAATCTACAAAAAAAGAAAGTAGAATTTAGGAATGCAAGACTTGCAAGACAAACACTCAGAATTTTGTTATGGAATGTTTAGCTGCTAACTTGAATTTTTTAGGAAGACAAATTCTTGGGAGAAAAAAGAAATTTCATTCCTAATTAACTTAATTGCCAGTGGTCTCTAAGTTCTTCTACCAATCCTGATTTGAAACTCAAGAAGCACCTTTCGGCAAGGCCCTAATTTACAATTGAGACATAGTAGATAGTAACATTTGAAACCTTTTGACACTGAGGGCCTTTCCATGCTAGGAAACAAAACAAGAATTGTTCTGACAAAAACAAAGGACAAATTTTTTCATTTACAAATTTTTGTTTCATCTGTTGCGTCCACTTTGAGATTTCCAAAGCTGTCAGATATCAGCATCTGATCTGTCTGTAAGACCAGCCAGCATAGTTTGCCAAAGGACTCCAATTCCAATCAATAGGATTTATCCTAGGTTGTTTTGCAACAAAGACAATTTTTGCACTGTAAAATGTAGGTGATGACAAAAAATTTGCCTAACTAAACAACTTTTTTGCTGGAAGGGAAAAGGTGCTTACTCTTCAGAACAAAAATTACACCTCCACTACATGCCGCCAAAAGTTAATTGACCAAATAAGGATGCCTACAGCTGTATGTTTATGCTAACTGTTATTTCCATATCTGCCTAGAATTAAACATCATGGAATACACACAATAAGAGT